ATGACTTGGAGAGGGTGTTTAGTGGACATGGGAAACTCATGTTTGAAACCCCGAAAAAACTTAAAATAAATATATAAATATTTTTTTTAAAAAAAAAAACAAGATTGCCGGCAAAAATTGGGAGCTTGGGTGTGGGTGTGGGGTGGGGGTAAGGAGAGATGGGGAGAGAGAAGGGAGAAGGGGAGGATTGGGGGAATTGGGATGGTTGAGATGGAGGAAGGGTGGATATGGGAGCAGGGAAGTAGATATCTTAATTAAGGGAGCCATTTTAGGGTTGGCAAGAGACTTGACTCTAGAGGGGTTCCCAGGTGTCCAAGGAGATGTCCCCAGCTTGTTCCTTGGGCCTTATCCTATAGTCACACTGATGAATATCTTGCATATCACCATAAAACCTTTATCTGGCAATGGGTGGAGATAGAGACAGAGACCCCTATTGGAGCACTGGACTGAGCTACCAAGGTCCAAATGAGGAGCAGAAGGAGGAAAAACATGAGCAAGTGGTGTGGAAGAATTGTCTGTATTCTGTCAATCATATTTTAATAAAATGCTGATCGGCCAGACAGGAAGTAGGGGTGGAGCAAAGAGACTGGGAGTATTCTGGGAAGCAGGAAGCTCTCCGGCATTCTTGCGCAGACAATTGAAGAGGGAGCATGTAACTTGCCCAGCTGAGAAAGGTACTGAGCCATGTGGCTAACATAGATAATGATAATGAATTAATATAAGTTACAAGGACTAATAAGTAGCCTGACCTAATGGGCCAATCAGTTTATAATCTTATGGAGTCCTGTGTGTGATTTTCCTTGGGGTATGCCACTGTGGGGTACCGGGCAGGAACAGATACCCCAACAAGCCAACCCTCATGTTACAAGCAAAGGAAGTCAGAACCGCAAGGGGTGCGCCCACACACTGAGGCGGTGGGACTGATCTAATGGGAGCTCACCAAGGCCACCTGGACTAGGACTGATGGAGCATGTGATCAAACGGGACTCTCTGAACATGACTGACAATGAGGGCTGACTGAGAAGCCAAGGACAATGGCACTGGGTTTTGATTCTACTGCATGTACTGGCTTTGTGGGAGCCTAGTACATGTTTGGATACTCACCTTTATAGACCTGGATGGAGTGGGGAGGACCTTGGACTTCCCACAGGGCAGGGAACACTGACTGCTCTTTGGACTGGAGAGGGAGGGGGAGAGGGAGGGAGGAGAGGGAAATGGGAGGAGGGGAGGAGGTGGAAATTTTTAATAAAAAAATTGAATAAAAAAAGAAAGAAAAAAAGAATAACTTTGACAAATGAGAGACAGGGACGATTCAATTTGAAATGTTAATTAGATGAGAGATGATGAAAGATCTCATTTTTTCTCTGACCTATGTTGATTTTAGTGTCAGAAGTGAAAGATAAACAAGCATTCAATTTTAATATTTTAAGAAGAAAATTTTGAAAACATTGCTAGTAATGATCCATTTGTAAACTAGGTAACTGTATTTAAAGATGATAAATTTATTCATTTGGTCTTCACTGTGACATTGTTTAACTCTCCCTATTCCTACTTTACAGACTCAGAACAGAATTTTATGAATGATATCAGACCAACATTTAATTTAACTGCAAACATTCAGATCACATGATTAAAATACAGATTCTCATTTGTTCTTGGCCACATTGCTCTCGTACTTAAAAGAAATACATTAGAAACAATATCATCAAATATTAAACTCACATTCAGATGTCCTCATTTATATAATTGAGTATTTCCAGATAGTTTGTTTGAACCAATATTCAAACAAGGTCAAGACACGGTGTTCATCTTTCATATCTTTCATTTTTTTTTATTTGTAGATGATAAAAGATGCCACTAGGGAAGTTCTGCAGATGATAGGTACACACAACAAAATCATAAAATACAAAATTAACCCACACAAATAAGTATGTATACATGACAAGCACACAAAGAAATTAGCCAGGAAAATAGTGCAGTCCACAAAAACCTCCAATTGATATGTTGTCCTTCCCAAGTTTCTCAGTTGTTTTAAATCTCTTCCAGACGACTTGGTTCCTTTCTGCTTCTTCCCTACAACTAATTTGGTCTCAGAATCTTTGAAACTTGCTCATCTGAGAATCTTCTTTTCAGCTTGTCTTATCTATGAATGAGTCTCAACAGTCTTTATTGTTTACTACTGGGAGGGAGAGGCCTAGAGAATCTTGTTAGTTTCAGGTACTTCCTGAGGCTGTATTGACTTTTACCTTCTGCCTTAAAGCTTCTAGGAGAATGGAGTGTTTCCATCATGGAGGAAACTGGTACACTATAGATGGATTTGAGGTCTTGTGGACTGTATCATTTTGTGTATCTTCCAATGTCTACTATCTCTTTATTTTTATTTAATTTTAATTTTTATTTATTTAATTTAATTTTTATTTTCATGCTTGAAAAAAATGAAGATAGATTATCTACGTGTTTTTCTCTGACTTATATTGACTGTTTTTACACTTTTATGTGTTGTTCTATGTTCTGTTACAGGCACACATTTTGCTCTCTTTGGTTTGAGGTTATACTTAAATGACTTCACACCCAAAGTAATGTTTTATATGAAGAAAACATACTAAATCATTGGATCTTTTCCTTTACTCACCCTTTGTAATAATGCATGATTAATCATTGAAAGTGACTGATATATTTTCTGAAAGTCCTTCTGTATTCCTGGATAAGAGAGTATTTGAAAGACATCAATACTTGCAGATTTTTATTTCAGTGCTGTTCAGTTTCCCTTCATATAATGTAAAGAGGCTTTCCAGGTTGACTCTTCCTACCTTCCTATGTAACTGCCATGGTCTTTAATAAATTCTAGACAATCAGCTCATCTCCCATATTTCCTTTCCAGTTCCAAATGTCCTCGATAATTCCTGATTCCTCTTTGTGTAAAGCTGGTGTGTTTAGAAAAAAAAAAATTGAGAGCCAACTTGCAACTTCTATTGAGTTTAATCAATGGCTGCTTATTGTTTCTAGGTCTTTTGTCATTCTAGAGGACATGTTTATCACTTCTTTCAGAGGGAGTAATAAATATAAGAGTTTTTATATAATAAAATATAATAAATATTATATTTATTATATAATAAATATAAAATAAAAGAGTTCTTATATAAATATAAGAAATAAATTAAGAGTTTATTTCTAATTCTAATTTATCATTATGGGCTTATAATTAACTCAATTGATTTCATAATTACTTATTTGCCTTTTGTATGATAATGCTTCTAGGCCTCTTTAGCTGATCAGAGAGAGTGTTTTCCTCCCTGTTTCCTTTTCCACCCATGCCCCTCAGGAAAATTTTACTCAGGGGGGAAAAGTAAACCAGTAATTTTGTTACTTAAATATTTTTTTCTTTGTTGACTGAGCCCCTGTCTAAATTTTTGATGTGTCTGATTTTTTCATGAAGTTTAGTAAACGTATATTTTGTTTTTATATCATTTTATCTTAAAATTATAAAGCATTTATCGGCTTTAAAATGTATTTAGGAAGACACTTATCCTATCCCTCATAAATAAAAGTTGTATTAATTTTGTGGCTTAGCTTCTCATTACTCTTCAGACTCATGATGTGTGTTGTATTAGTCATACACATGATTGTCTGAGAAACTGAAGTTAAATATTGGGTCTTTTACCTTTAAGGGTAAATCTTAGGGGTCACTCCATAGCTACCATTGCATTAGCCCCTTGGCCTTTAACACTGTCCTTGTGCTTTATGGTGGAAGTTTTCTATAGTTTACTCATCTAGTTTTCTATTGAAGAACGTAAATTTATGCAAAATCTTTAGCTGTTACAAATGTAAAATGCTTTAATGAGTAGTCTGTGCCCAATTTCAACAACACCTTTAAAGTTGCAATTTTTAGAGTAAGTTCTGGAAATTAGAATTTGTAGATCCTAGGATAAATACATATGCAAATTTGCTATTTATTATCCATTTAAAAAATAACTTTCCATTCTTATTATAACACATTATTATATAGTAAAAACATTTTGCAGTTTCCAAGAGTGTTAATAAGCTTTTGAACTTTTAAGATATTGGTAAGTAAAAATTTATATTTTACTTTAATTAATTAAACAAGGTATTTTGTTTTCTTAGAGTCCAATTTTTATGTTAAATAGTTAACATTATGTTTATTATTTACTCTGGTTATTTGCAGATGATATGATTGTGACCCCAAAAACTCTACCAAAGAACTCCTACAGTTGATAAACACCTTCAGTAATGTGGCAGGAAACAAGATCAACTCCAAAAAATCACTAGTCCTCCTATACACAAAGAATAAAGAAGCAGAGAGGGAAATCACAGAAACAACACATTTTTTGTTAGCCACAAATAGCATAAAGTATCTTGGGGTTACACTAACCAAGGAAGTGAAAGATCTATGTGCCATTCTGCTTTTTCATGAGGCTTTACAATCATCTCCCCCAGGTGGTATACAGTTTGATTAATGGATAAACCTACTTTTTTTTTTGCTGTGAATTTCTGCATCTTTTAAATTAGCCTTTTTCCCCTTTTGTTTTGATTTCTTCTTACTGTTTGTTTTCCCACAAATTAGCATGATTTTAAATAGCAGCAACCACAATGGACCTAGGATTTTTTTTTTCATCTGTTTTAATTTATCACCATATAATAAACATTTTTTGCTTAATAGTGCTTATAATTACAAATTTTAATTACAAATCCTATTATATCCCTAAGTTTGACAACATTTTCTAATCCTTTCTTTTCTAGACATTTATTTTATGTTTGTTGTCATCACAGATAATTCTATAGCAAACCACATTTATTTTTATTGAATTGGTTTCTCATGATAAATTTCCATGGAAGGAATTACTGTCAAAACATATAAAAACTTTATGATTCTGCCATATTTTGACATATAGCTTTTTCAAGTAATATAATTCAAAATGCCACCAGCAATACATAAGAACTAGACTCTTATTAGCTGTGGATCTCTGTTTTTGCAGATTAGGACAGCTTTAAATTCTTTTCCCAAGCAAGTTTTAGAATCCATGACCATGTTTACTCTACTTAATTCAGTGCCAGCTAAAGCTCTATCATTAGATCTCCTTCCCTACAGAAATATTTGTATTGTTCTGTGGTGCCAATTGCTCTTTGTTATTCTTTGTTGTTATTTAGTTTATGATTACTGACTAAATATTCCCATTTAATTTTTTCATTTTTAATCATCAAAGCTGAGAAATAATATCATTTCTATTTTTAAAACTTCCCTCTGAGTTGTAATGCTTAAGTCTTTAGCCTCTAGCCATTCCTCATAGGCTGAGTGTGTGTGTCCCTACCATCTCCGCACCTGTCCTTGCTGTTTTCCAGATCACAGTCTCAGAATTTTTCTATGGTGCACTCATTGCTTCAAGGATGTCATTACGAAGAGCGTTTGCTGTATGTTTGGCATCTGTGGCCTTTCCGTCACTGGGGTTTCTACTCTTGTGGATGCAGTAAGAGCTGAAATACTCTGCACTGGTCCAAGCTCTCATTTTATGGATTATCTGTCCATAAATAGAAATAGTAGCCGGGTACTAATAGTAGAATAGTGAGCCGGCATGGCTCTGCAACCTTATTCCTAGCAGTCACAGGCACAACGGTATTTGTAAATTGACATTTCTGGTGTACAAATGGCAGGGGAATAAACTATCGCACATGTCTGCTGACAGTGTCGTGGGATGATTTTTTTTTTCTCTTTTAGTGATTCTATAAGCCACCTGTATTTTCCAGAAAAGGTTTGTCTAGATAATGATACAGAATTCCTCCTTCATGCTTGGGCGGAGCTGGAAACACTAGTTGATATACATCTAGAAGATAGGAATGTTTCTTATTAATTAATTTGTTTTTGCTTGAGAAGATTTCCCAGCACCTTCTTCTAAATACAGACAGAGAACGGCAAATTTTTTTGAAAGACTGAACATTGAAAAAAAACAAATTTCTGCTTTCCCAAATGGTAGATAAATTTGAATTAAGTTTTAGATGTCAAACCATGACTAATAGTTGAAAAATACCTTTGATATTTTCATCACTGTTTTAAAGAGTCATTCTACTTCTGTCTAGAGTTTCAATATGTGGTTGTTTTTTCTCTCTTTCATTTTCAGATGACTCTTTAGTCTCCAGACAATGAAACTTTACAGTTACAAAAACTCCTATAAGTGCTTATGTTTGTTCCATTCTACTTTCTTGCCTATGACTTGGGTAGTTTATGGACTTATAATTGTGAATATCAGCTAAATGTATTTTAGTTAAATTTGGAGATTATTTTGTTATTTCTTTAATATTTTCCCATTTATTTTTTAAACTTCTTTATTTGCAATAAATAATACATGTTGACTTTTGATAAATTCCTGTTTTTTCAACTGGATTTCCCTTTGTTCTATTGTTTCATTCTATGCAGGGTTAATTAGAAATTCATTGTTTAACATTTTCTTTAATTTTATGCGGGTTTCTTTGTCTTGAAAGGTGGGTGGGAGGGTATACTAACGATGTCTTTGCAGTCACATGCTTACTTACCATGTACTATACCCTGGGTTTGCTCCCAAGATTAAATAAATCAGTATAGTTAAAAATTTAATTTTATAAGATTTTAAATATTAAAGATTTTTCTTTTCCTTTTTTTCTTATTATTTTAGTATTTGTTATCAATTTATTATTTTTTTCTGTGTACATGTTGTATGGTGATGTGCATGCCATAGTGAGAATGTGGAAGCCAAGGACCATTTCTAACCAGCCTTTCTTTCCTTCCCCCATGTGGACCCAAAGAATCAATTTCAGCTAATCAGGACTATTACCCATTGAGCCACCTTGATGTTTTTCCTCCTTTTAAAAAAATGTACAGAATAAAATCAAAATCAGTATTCTAATGTGGATGTGTTCATTCTCTGATATTGCAATATTGAAACTAGTATTGAATTAAATTCTAATAATGTCTTGATATCCCTTTCTCTCTTCTTTTCTTTCTTTCCTTCTCTCATCTTCATGTTTCTGAATTAGTAAGTGTCTGGTAATCTGAGATGTCCATTATGTAGAGAGAGGCCCTAAAACTGATTGAGCTCTGTATCCTGAGGTACTGAGTGAGGTTGTTTTATTTGTGGATTTCACTTATGGAATAATCTAAACTTTGACTGTATTGCAGAGAGTCCTTTGTTTCCAGCATCAGGAGATGTTTTTTAAAAATTCCTTTTCACCTAGTTTTCTTTCTATCTTCTATGTGGGTGACAGAGACCAGAATGCTGGCACTCTGGATAACAGTGTATTTGAAACTCGTATCTAATGCCTCTCTTGTATCTTGAATGCTCCCTTGTGCGTCAGACTCTTAGACAAGCTCCTCTGGTTGCCATCGATCCCAGAGACACAGCTTCATATTGGGGACACACAGGAGAGGATGTATGACCTTTTGAACCCATGCTACAATTTTGCTCCTGCAGCCTCACATCCTCATGGAAGCCCCTGATGTTGCATACCCAGACTCCAGCTTGTAGATCTGCTCAACTCTGCTCAATAACTTTCTTTTATCCAATGAACCTCTCCACTGAGTCTCCTATCTCTCACAGGTCCTTTGATAGTGTAGTAGCAGTTTGCTTGGCTCCCGAAACAAAGATATAAAATCTACCACAGTGCTTAGTTTTGTTTAGCATTGACATTTTTATCACTTATTAAATTTAATGACCACAATTTGTGATGTTTGCAATGGAGTATAAATAAATATAAATTCCAATGTCAAATTCATGATATTTAAACAGAAAAAAATGCAAAACATACCCTGGAAAACTCAGGAAAGTCTTTGTGCAAATTGGATGCTTGCATCTGAGATGTCAAGAGAAATTCTGAGTTGTACAAACTGTCTTAGGAAATGCTATCCTACATCTAGTTTTCAAAACTGGGTATTTAGTAGAACTTGTTTCTTTCAGAATATTCTATCTTTCTGTTTAGCTCGTGTTTTAAAAGTCAGCATTAAAATGTGTATGTGTGCTTACTTATTTTCCTGACTTCTAGCTCTCTTCCCACAAGCAACACTACAGAGCTGCACTGCTCTTGTCAATCTCTCTCCATAGCAATTGATTCTCTAACTTACTTGAGTCTGTGCTTCCGTGATTCCTCTTGCACATTATCTATGCTCCAAAATATCTCTTTTCCTTGGCCTCCTGAAATTTTATTTCCTGTTGACATAACAGTTTCAGATAATAAATGTTAAATCATGTTGCATAATTGTTACAGATTTTCTTTGTATATTATATATTTTACTGTATATAATATATAAATGGCAGCATCTCCACCTCCTTTCCACTCAAATAAAGAATAAATGAAATGTCCAGCAAGAGTTAAATATTGTAGGAGAGAAAGAAGATCACAAAGAGATGAAAGAGACTTATCAGACATGGAATTTAAAGAAAAAAGAGGAGAGGAAAAATGGAAGGAGGCCATTAGGAATATGATAATACCATGTGAGGGTGTGTGCATGTTTGTGTGTGCACACACGTGTGTGTGTGCATGCAAGTGCATGTGTAATTAGATGCTTTATGTGAAAATTGAAACATTTCTTCTCAAAAATAATTGCTAAATTATACTTGGGTCACCACTGAAAGCCCTTGTGCTACCATGCATAGCTCATTCAAACAGGTCCAGCAGGCTGCACATACTGCACATTCTGTTTCTATTATCTGTGTAATTTGAAGAATGTACAAACACCCAATGGATTCTCTGGAATGGAGAATTTCTTTCTGTAGAGGTCAAGACAGAGCCAGTACCCAGCTACCTAAAAAGCCATCAGGAGGGACAAAGAGTTCGTAAAATCATCTAAGAGTATCTTCTATGTATTTGTTATTTTTTTCAATATTTGTTTTATAAAGATATCTTCCTATATATAATAGTTTTCGCTAAGAGGAAAGCCATTTATTAACGCTACAGAAAAAGAGTGTTGCTTCCCTTTGATAGGTATACATTGTCTGCTTTTAAGTAAAAAATGATTGCTAAATGCCATCTGTCAAGTTTGTTGGTCCAGTATTACCACAAACACTATTATCTATGCTGAGATTTAGGTCACGCTACTCCAAATATGGTACCCTGGTATTTGAGTAAACATCCGAAGTGGAAATGCCAGTTATACCTTTCCCAAGTGCCCTGAAGCAAGTCATAAAACTCAGGAAGAATTTTCTGGCATTCCCTTGAAGCTGGTCGTAAAGTCCTTCATTCCTAATTACAGAGATGACCTCCCTATATCCAGAGCCAAAGCTCTGCACTCTGGTGGAGAAGAAAGGAACAAACAAACCTTACTCATTTTTTTGTTTATTATTATCTGATCATAACTTCATATCTACCTCTCTTTCTTTGTGACTATTCATAGCTTTATTATACGTAATATTTAAAAAATGAACATTAATGTGTTATAATTTCCTTATAAATGTCTGTTTCAAAGAAAACGTGTATCAAATACATTTGTATGGTTTTTTGTTTGTTTGTTTGTTTGTCTGTTTTGGTTAGGTTTTGTCTCTTTAATTAGTCTCAACCATGAATCTAGGATGAGGAGGGAGTTTCCACATTCTCTTGCATTTGTAAGGGGAAACCTGCTGTACTTTGTCAATAGACTGTCAAGCTTTAGAAGGCCATGCCTTTGCTTCCAGATTGGAATTGTGTTTTATGACTTGAAACCTGGTTGTTTTAGAACTTGAGGATCTATTTTTTCATATGTATTTATTTTCCAACAATAGGAACAAAAATGCTAGATTCTCAAAGGCAGTGGGGATAATAAACAATAAGGAAAGGAGTATTCTCATTTCCTCCTTCAGAATGCCCTGGATCTCTATTTCTGGCGGCACTTTGCCCCTGGCCACTAAATTGTCAGCTTTACATTGATTCATCTTTTCATACTTGGATTTTGTTTTATGCACAGCAAGTATTTAGAATAAATGTTTTACAATGTTCATATTTTCAGAAACTCGGTTTTCTATGTTAGGAAAGCAATAAGCTGTGATAATCTGTTTTATTTCTATATGACTAATATTTCCTTCCTCCAAGCCTTATTCCCATAATGTTACCTTAGCCCACAGCTCCATGCTCCAATATGAATACTGGTTCTTTTCCTCTTCGCTTATTTCCTTTCACATGTTAGAGGCAATGAAGTCATGATAAATCCTAGATCATGACCACAAGCCACATGCAGCAGTTTCTCCTTCTTATCTTGTCAGCTAAAGTGATAGTATATGTTCGGTGCATAGTAATTAGATTAATGCTGTCTATAATTTCTTTACAAAGAACCTTTTCACCTTCTTGCACATTTTACTGTCTCTAAAGCGGGAAAGTATCTACAGTGATGGCAGGTCCTGATTTTACTGTCTCTAAAGCTAGAAAGCATCTACAGTGATTGTAAGTCAAGATTTAACTGGAGAATTCTACCTTCACCATTACTTTTCTCCGGCTTTATCTTTCCCTCCTGCTTTCCCCTTAGCTTTAGTCTACTTTCTTTCAATCTTAACGTACTTTACTATCATTTAGATCAATGCAAATGTCTGTTCATTCCAGTAGCATCTCTACAAAGTAACCCAGCCTCAACTGGGTATACCTGTGTATGAAAATTTACTTTTACACATGAAGAGACCAAACCTAAGTTTGACCACTTAAACAATGCACCAGGTAAACATGGCCATTTTAATTGATAGTGTTACAGTCAAAGATGGTGTTTTTTTTTCTGCAACAGTTAAAACTTTTATTGAATCTTTGATATATAACTTACTGAAGCTAAAGTTATTATCATAGTAAAAATTGTTAAAGATTTTAAATTTAACTAATAATTTTTTAAATAAAAGCCTGAAATTTCACCGAAGTAATAAGTTATAGCTCTACAATCCTGTCTTTTTCTTATTTTTTTTTCCGTTAGACTTGTTTATTCAAGTATCCGAAAACACTCTTTCCACTTCCTCCCCTCCTCCCAATACCCTCCCACTTCCCCCACTCCCCCCACTCCCTCTCCTCCTCCCTCACCATTCCCCAGAGCAGTCAGGGTTTCCTGCCCTGTGGGAAATCCAAGTTCCTCCCCCCTCCCTCCAGGTCCAGGAAGGTGAGCATCCAGATAGGCCAGGATCCCAAAAAGCCAGTCCATGGTTTTAAAGTAAATGGCAATGCCTCACTTGGATCAAGCTCTAAAGATATAGGCATAGACTCCTGCTGGAGTAAAGCAAAACCCAACCTGGGCAGCTCATGATTTCTACTTCCAAGGGAGTCAATGCCTCTGACTTCCACAGGTACCTGTATTCACAGGCACAGAAGACTCATATGTACACAAATTTGTAATTAAAAATAAAACATCTTTAAGAATAAATCTAGAAACTTTCAGACACAGAAAGAGAAAAACGCTCATGATTGTTTATAACTACAGTCACTGAAGAAACGCATAAAGAATGATAAAATAGACTCCCGCTCACTCTTTCCTGTGCTGTTACTACCTTCCAGAGATAGAGCAATTATTTTCTTATCCTTTGAATGAGGATCAAAACTATGGATTATGCTGTAAATATCACTGTAAATGTGTGTCCTTAAGTAGTTTTGTGACCCAGAGGAAAAGGGCATCTGACATATGAGCAAGTCTTCTCAACTCTCCTTTGCTACCTGTTTCAGAAAGTAAGTAATCAATATAAACCACATAGAAGAAGGACTTCCAAAATATCTGCTTTCCTTGGCTCTATGAAGCCTCAAGGACAGCGTTTGCTACCATCTTATAGAACAGGTTATTTCTATTACAGGGATTTAAAAAGGTCAATAAACTTAAAAATAATGTGACAGTTGGGGGATTTTGAGTGATGGAGAGTTAGGTCATTCAAACCTTGTATAACTAAGGTTCTGCCTGATGGTAGAGAGAATAGTCAAAGAATAGTAAGAACACCAAAGATGATGAACTTTTATAATCAGTTATACAAATTTGGACGTTAGATGCCTAACATAGTCAATTTAACTTCAAATGCGTGTATAGTTGTATTATCTGAGCATATTTATGTATTTACTCTTTTATAACACAAAATGCTAAGGAAACTTTATTTTCAGAAAAACCATAGTACAGCTCAGAATATACTAGAAGATAATAGAGGAACCTATGAGAGAGGACGCCCAAGGACCTTATGTCATGTGTTATATTATTTATATTATTATATTATTTATATTTATGCATAAGGACCTTTTTATGTCATATAGTTATTTATGTTAGTATTTAAATTTACAACTTGACACTCAGATAGAAGCTCAAGTTCTAGAACACATGCGAATGCTAATAGTCTTGTTTATCATTTATGAGGATATTCATAAAAACCTAAATGATTTTTAGTTTCTGGTTCTGTGTGAACTTTCTTATCATGTTTATCAGAATGAAGAGAGGAAGAAACTAAAGTTATAATCTTGAATAACTGCTGTTTAAGATATAATAAACTTTTAATAGTTTATGAATTCTTAAATCTTTAAAGATTTAATAGATAACTATCTTTAGAATAGTTTATTAGTACATTTTGATGTATAGGTTGTGATAACCTAAAATACTTGTTAATATTAATATATCACGTTTTGCCCTTCAAACAGAGTGTAGGACAAACACGACTGCCATAATTTACATTTCAAACCAACAAATTGAATTTTGATCACACATTTTTTTCCTTTAGGTTATTGGCATAGAAGTCATAGAAGTAATCATATAACTTTTCCATCTATACAAGTGGCTGTTTTACCCTGCATTATCTATCTATCTATCTATCTATCTATCTATCTATCTATCTATCTATCTATCTACCTACCTACCTATCTATCTATTATCTATTTATTTATATTTACATATTTATATCTCCCATAGTTGGTGAGAATAATTTTTTATCTAATTATTTTACAAACTCTCAATAAATTGTAACTTTGAAGCCATAAATGATAGTGATACTCTTTCCTTTGAAATTCTGGATAAGGTATTTAGTTTATACAATATTTGGTAGGATAAAGCCAATCTTCAGGATAATGGTAATTATGAAGATCTTTAAATTCCATTTTTTTGTAATATTGAAATAAAAAAAAAGCTAGCAATGCTGAGAAAAATCCAGGTCCAAGCACAGAGGAGGTCACGAGTGGGATACATCGGGTTGAACACCCCCTTGTTTCCTGTGGCCGCACACCCACAATCTCTACTGCTTTCCAGTGTGTATTGGCCTGGCCTGGTCTTATTCCTACCAACACATGATTTACTGACTAGTTAAATGTCTAAAGTCCGGTGGGTACTTTTGAAATAGCTACCCCGTTTGCTTCTTCTTCTCTTGTCACATTTCTGGGTCCATTTCTTCCCATCTCCCAATTCTTTAGCTCATTTTCCTGGCATTTCCTCACCTCTCTCAATATCAGAGCTTCTGCTGACTTCTCAGAGTCTTAGGTACAGGTTCTCTCTGAATACAGGAGATGTTCTTTGCTTCCTTCTCCAATCTCCATGTAAAGACTGGCCTTTCACCACAACCATTTAAAATGTTGACCATCTGTTTTAGGAGAAATTTCCAAAATACCAAAAGCACAGAAGAAAAAAGAAATATTCTGTAATGAACAAAGGAAGCATGCCATGTCTTTATGTACTTCCTGCATTCATTTGTTGGAAAATTGGGTTGATAATTTATAAAAGTTAGTATCATACAGTATTTTATAATTTTATTTGATATTGCTGTATTGTAGGGCAGGGGATGATGAGTGTCCTGGTGTTGAGGTTGGAGGACAATTGTGTGGAGTTAGTCCTCTCCTTCTGCCTGACTTAGAAGAGTTCCAGAGTGAGAATTTAGAATACCAGACTTTTTTGAAAAGAAATTATCTTCCCTTGCTGAGCCATTTTTCTGACCCAAGTATTATGCATCTTATACCTTTTTTTTAATATGGGGAAATCTTCAAAACACTTGGTTTTTAATAATTTCAAATTTCATCAGGTAAATAACAGCTTTTAGTCCCTAGTGCAGATGAGTTTTCAGGATGCCAAGCACGTTATGAAAAAGTTATGCTGTCTCGTAATGAAGCATAAGGTTCTTTAATGATATGACACAGGCTTTGGGAAGAAAGTCTTGCTTTTCATGTAGTGTTAGCTCTCTCTGGTTCATTTTACTTTGTCTTAATACCCTCTTTTCATACAACGTATCTTGATACTATTCCTTTCCCAGTTCCACCCAGGTCTTCCACATCTCTCTACTTATCCAAATTCTTGTTCATTCTTTCTTTCAAATTAGAAAAAGTCCCACGAAACAAAAACTTTAAAATAGAAAACAAACAGTGTTAGTCACTGTTCTAACACAGTGTTGCTGTGCTGAAACACTATGATCAAACGGGTGTTGGGGAAGAAAGGATTTGTTTGGCTTACACTTCTACATTGTAGGGCACCATTGATGGAAATCAGGATAGAAGCTCAAACAGAGCAGGAACCTAGAGAGATGCTAACGTAGAGGCCATGGAGAGGTTCTGCTTACTGGCTTGCTTCCCATGGCTTGCTCTGGGTGCTTTGGATCTATAAAGAACTGGGACTTCTCCCATCAATCACTAATTAAGAAAGTGCCCCAAAGTTGGATCTCATGGAGGCATTTATAATTGATGTTCCTTACTTTTCAGTTAACTTTTGCAAACAAAAACTGCACACACACAGACACACACACACACACACACACACACACACACACACACACACACACACACAGAGCCCATTTTGTGTGAACCAACAACTCCTGTTCATTGGGTCTTTCCTGTAAAGAGCACATACACTACCTGCGACCGACAGGGAGGGAAGACAGAGAGACAGAGACATAGACCAGTACCACAAAATTGTTTCATTTGGGTAATTTGGGATTGAAATTACTCTTAGGCCTATCCCCATTATGCTAAATATGTAATCTATAAAATGAGCACTGAAAAATCCACATTAACCTATGTAAAAATTATGAAATATCCATCATTCACTCATAAAAGTAAGTTAGTATCGTATTTTGATCTCAGAGCACTAAGAAAGGTGCAATCTACTTTCAAATTCATGTCTTCAATTTGCCTCCTCCTGATATAATTTTTTAAAGGCTTGACAGTCACCAAAATGACTTTCAAGTTGTCAATCTGTCTGGCCTGTTGTAAAACCCTGTCAAGAGAACATGTCCCTTTTATGGAAAAATGCTTATGCTTCCATAAAATCACAGCTCTTTCCTAGATTAAAAATGATCAAGATAGCATATTTAATGTTAAATAGAGAAAGATGTTTCTGGGAGGGTGGGTTTTATTTTCCTGCCCTGGTAACCAGTGCAGGCTAAGTTCTTAAATTCAGGTTTACTGCTTTGGATAGTGTAAAGCATGCTTTTGACTAACAGGCATATCAGTGTACCAATCAGTGGAAGATAGTGAGCATATTGAAGACATTTATTTTGCCTATTTTCATGCCTCATGATAACAAGATCTATAACTAATGCTTATATATGAGCAGTCTTTTGAAACTATTATTTCTTGGCCTAAAGTTCCCAAGCAGGTTGGCTTCTATGAAAGTAAAAGTGAAACGGAGAATGAATGTTATTTAGTCAAGTGATAGAACAGTTTGATGAATTTTACAAAACATTTCAAATATACTGTTTTGAAACAATGTTCCATACTTGTTGACTCCTGATGAGCAACTTAATTTCTTTTCTCCAAAGCTGAGAGTTGAACACATGACCCTTGCAAGGCAAGCCCTCTCTCCCCAAAACTCCTCAACCACTTTGGTGAACAGCTTTTTATTAATTAACATAGAATTATTGATTCTCTAACTGAATTGTTTTCCCCTGAGCATAGAACCAGACTTTGCCTATAATTCCATTGTAAATCTTTGCTTTAAAGATCCATTTGTGTTTATTTCTATCTACTCTGCCAATTTGTGTGTATCTGCACTGTGTGCATCCATGTGTCCCAGGAACTAGAAGATCTAGGATTGTAAGCCACAAGGTGGGTGCTGGGAACTAAACCATGGTCCTCTACAGGAGCAGAGCATGCTCCTACCCACTGAACTGTTTGTCCAGACATGCCTTTGAAGATTTTTGAAGAACTATTTTATAATGACATAGTGGAGAAAGAAAATATGCTTGCCTAGGGGAGAGAGAAAGACAGAAGTGACAAGCAAAACAATATGTTAGAGTTTAATGGTTTTCCAAGAAAAGAAAGCTAGACCATCATCGCCAACAAAATCAATAGTAAGACCTAATGCAGGGCTTGACATGTCTTATGCATTTATTCCCTACCATCTTTTCAGTGTCCAATAACTCCAAAAGGATATGTTCATTCGCTTGCTTTTTCCTTTTTAATTATAAGACATATATAGGAACCAACCATTTCATGAAAGAAATGAATCTATGTTTTGGTAGAATGCAGACAGCAAAATGTGTCATGGTTTTACACTTCAGTTGAAAGTTTCTTCATCCTAGATGAGTGAGAAAAATAGCGAAAATAAGTAAAATTATGCCACACAATGCTTTGTAACATTTCTATATAATCTCCTCTTTTTAGGGCTCTATTGCTGTTAAGCTTTCTAGCCTAATATCTTTTTTTTATGGCAAAGTATTCCTATGACGAGGGAGATAGTCTGAATTTGGTCTAAGCTCCCTAGAGGTGGAGATGATAGTACAAAGGCCTGTGAACCCTGGGTTGTTAAGCATTTCCCCCTTTACCTGTTGTGTCTGTTTAATTGTACGTCTTGTCTGAGTAATGACCTTTATCACAATATTTTAGTGCCTATTTCTAATGATTGATGCCAATATTCATAATCCTATTTTACCTATGTTAAGTGAAGTTTGAAAATTCCAATTTAAAGAGTTTCCAAACAATTTCTTCTGTGTATAAAATAAATTATAGTCGTGTATTGTGTTTAGATTATATAGTCTACTGCATATAATTGAATATATATTTATATATAATATATTCTAAAATATTTAAATATTGTTAAATATTATACATACACACACACACGATTTAATTTGACTGTTAATATATTATCCTTTGACCAATTGCAACAGATAAGGAAGCAGAATTCTGGTCAAATCTTCCTGGCCAGGTCTTCTGCTAAACAGCACTTGAAAACTTGTTAATGACTTTGGGTACGTCCCTTAAGCTATTAGCAGTTATATTTCTTTATTGAGGGAAGGTGATAATAGCTGTCTTCTGGCAGTTAACCTTTGACCAGTATGCAGTGCACACATTGATTCCTTTTTTATTGAAATATTAAGCTCCTTGATGTGTCCGTGTTCATAATGGGGTTGAATATTTTTTAATATCCTCCCAGCTGGACTATAGAAAGAAGCATGAAAATAGATGAAAATTAATCCTCAGATTGGACTTTTTATTATTGTGAGCCTTTCTGAAGAATCATTTGACCCAGTACAGCTAGCAGAGGTTATTAGAAGGGAATTAAGGAGACAATAAATAGGCGGTGTTTATGGTGAGCTCTCCCATCCTACACTATGACTGCTGCTTAGAAATCTCTAGAAAGCCAGTCCTTAGATGAATCTCAGATATTCTCATTCTGAGCCTTAGGTTCTGTTCTGAGTCTTAAGTCTAAGTACCTATGGTTTAAGTGGCTGTTCTGATCTTTGATGTATGCTGAAACTAAGAACCACGAGCATAAAATCAAGGAATGAAAAAATTTCAGTATAAGCACACTAAGACTTGGAATCAGAATTTGTGCTGTGCTAGGAGTATCTATGTATTCCTTAAGATCTCTTAAACTTATGTGGGTGTTTATCTTAATATTCATGTACCAGGAAAGAATCAGAAGGAATCAGAAAAATCTAGCAGTTTTGACAACAAAGCATTAAAATAGAAAAAGGGAAGGCAATGATGGGTGATACTGAGATGTTGTTATCACATATATTTTTTCAATTGTCCCCTTTATCTTAAAATCAAGGCATAGCATCTTTGCAAGACTTAATACACATTAAAAGATTACAATCACTAGTTAGCATTATCCCTATTCATCATCTGTTTTTATAAGTAAAAGATGATTTGTATCAAAACACTGAAACGTCTTGAAGTTTTGTTTAGTTCTTTGAGACAAGGGATATCAAAGTCTTCAGAGTGATTTATTTCATTACGAAGATTTGAGTGCATTGTACGTTTAAAGCTGGTGGCCAAGTTATTTGGAGTGAAAGCAACTTTGTGCAGTGTGGGAGAGATTCTTCAAAAACATTGTTTTTGCCCTGCAGAAAGATGTCTTTATATTTGTAGCATCTTGAAATATCCTTCTGTTACTAAAAATGTGTGAGAATATTAGAAAAACATATCTGTTGCTTGATTGAGGGTTGTTCCTTACACACCAGCAATTATCAAAATAGTTGTTTGTAGAGATAATGAACAAAGTTTTCCAAAGATGCTTGGACACCAAATTAAACTACTTATACACCTCAACATGGCACAACCCTCAATATCTTTTAGAACTCATAAAAACAATGACTTCAGAATGCCTCAAAGCTAAGAAAACTTGTCTTTAATAATGTCTTCTTTATTTTCAGTTTGATTCCTTTGTTATGTTCATACATTCATCCAAAATAAGAAGAAAAGATTGTAATTTATTTACAATTTGTATTATGTTTTTATGCAAAAAAATTGAAAGAAGGAGAAAATCACTTTAGTATTTTGCCTGTTTGTGCAAGCTAGATGTAAGAATTTTCTTATCTGTGACTAACTATTTTCATTATGTACCTTTGCCCTTCTGTTCTTCTTCATCATGCCATGAAGGACATTAGTGAAGTAACCATGAGAGCTTCCCAGGTGGTATGTTTGCTTCAGCAGTCACTGTATGAGCAAGGATGTCTGTTGATCATTGCTAACTCTACTGTGGTTCCTTATACTTTTGGCTCACTAACACTAACTTAGTGATGTAAATCTGGTAACATATGCTCTTTGAAAGATGTTACTGGTGAAAGAAAATAAAAGTGAGTATTTTAGACCTCTAAACTTGAAGTACTGCTTATATGATGATAGGCAACATCATATAACAACTTGTCTTCATTCTTATTGTTTCTGGTTTTGTTTTGTGAGAAATTACAGGGTGACCTTGAATTTGCTATATTGCAGTGGTAGACTTTCTAGGTCTGTTCTTTTTTGCCTCTACCCCCCAAGACTGCTGTGATTACAGACTGTCACCAAGCTCAGCTTCCTAGCTTACATGGTATTCAACCCAGGTCTTTGTATATGACAGACATACATACTGCCAACCGAGCCATCAGACTCAAGGTGCCCTTCAGTCTTTAATCTTTTTTGATATATACTTCATGAGAAACTGCATTCCATCATCTGACTCAGTCCTGCTGAGTGTTCCAGTGAGGCTGTTGGCCAGCATCATGTCTTGAGTATCTTTTTCTTTTCTTGACATGCTTTCACAATGACAATCTCTGTTTCAATCCTACCAGTGCCATCAGGTACTCTGCTAGGCTAAGCATTTTGAAAATATTACAAAATATTGTCCTTGAAAACATCCAAACACAGAGGTAATGTGTCAGAGTACAGTCGACATGGGCAGCACATGTGTACCCGGAATAAAAAACGAACATGTAGGTTCGGAAATAAGATATGCATAATGCAATGCTAAGCTTATTTCCTTAGAGCGGGTCCAATTCAGCAGCATGTTTCTTTTTTTTCTTTTTGCTGTTCAATTCCCCTAAAATTTATACACAAAGGATGGCAAAAGATTAACACTGCAAACATACTCACAGTTATATGATAAATTCAGTTGAATGGAATCAGTTACATTGCACATGACAATGTGTTGTGAGTTCAGCAAGAATTTGTACGTTATATCCCAGGGTAAACAAATCAACAAAAAAGCTACAGTGGGAATGATTCCCTGTTATTCAACAGGAGCTGCAAACATACAAAGGCATTTGTAAATTCTGTACATTTAAAGACAGCATGTTTCTCAAAATTTATTTCTCCTTCTGCTTTTTCGTAGCTTTGAGGACACTATTTGGAAATTCTGTCTATAAGAGCATAGTCTACAGAAGTTTGCATCTGTCAGTGAACTCTGATCTCAAGACCAGACACAAACGTGCTGCAGAAATATGAGCTCAGGGGTTTATGAAGAAATGAGAGTAATGAACATGTCCCCATGTGATGCTAAGCAGTTTGAACTGAGTTTGGAATTTTAGTTTCTGATGGTCCCAGTGAGTGGAGAAGCAGGAATATTGTATAAATAGTTTCTGACCCTGCTTATATTTCTCCTCCTTTGATAAAATATCTGACGAACTAACTTAAGGAAGGAGAACTGACTTCCTGGCCTGCAGTCTGACAGAGAAGGCATGGCCACAGGACACCAAGGCAGAGGTCTTCATAAGACAGCAAATGGGGAAGCATTGGGTACAGACTGGAGCCAAAGCTGTATAACTTTTAAGGCTCCATGCTGATGTCCTACCATTACCAACCATATTGGACACACAAGCCACTATTTTCCCCATCTACCTCAACAATAAATCAAGTATACAAATACATGAGCTTGAGAGGCAGTTCTAGCCTATAATCGTAGCTACTGTATCTCTGAAGCAATATAGAGGATGTGTATAGCAGACAAAGATGAAGGATCAGCATAGTGATGCTTGGATTGACGGTGCATTGGTTCACAGATCTAATGGTGCAGTTTCTCCACTCTTCCACAGACTAGGACAGGATGAAGAACATTTATACCATAGCGACTAGCAATTGGTATATAAAGAGACTTCACACACCCAAAAGCCACATGTTAGTTACTGCTAAACAAATCGCTTACATTACACTTCAAAGGTGACCCCCTGTGTTCCTGCTTAAAAGAGGGATCTTAGGATGGGGAAAAATACTGGAAATAATAAAAGCCTACCATACAGTGGAACATTGCACTAAAAACTAAAATCACTGAAGCCAGTAAATGCAGCAAGAAAATAAAGTGATAAAATTGATAGTTAGAGAAGATACCTCTGTCCACTCATATTGAAGGTAATAGGTTATTTTGATTTCTCTCTTAAATTCATTCTGCTCAGTGCAATTCAACTTGTTTTAGGAAAAAGTTAACCTTGCACAATACTGAGACAATTTTAAATGTATTCAATTTTATAGCTTATTCTTAATTCTCTTTTTAAAATAATAATTACAATGTAAGCAACATATGAATATATAATGTAAAACATACAAAGACAGTATATATAGCTACTAGGAAAGTGTCATTATTATTTTTTATTATTATTTTAGGATTAATATTCTAATTCTAATTTCCTGACTTTAATTTTTTTTTCTTGTAGTACTAAATACATTTTTAAAAAGTTTTTAAATATTATTGGTTTCTATTTACCCTCCCCTATGCTATTTTATGAGCTCTCAGATTTCCATTACTTGAAGTTTCTTTGTCTCCTACATTGTGTCATTTAGTTAAAAAAATCAACTCAATGTAGTTTTTAAATCAAT